TCGGGGATCCCGCGTCCCGGCCGGGTGGGCTTGTGCCGTGCCCGGGGCCACGGCGGGGAGCCGGAGGGGGCGCAGGTCCGAGTGCGCGCGGCGCCGGGCTCTCCTCTTTCTGGTCCTGACCCGGCTGCGAAGAATGGTGGGAGTGCCCAGGTGGCAGCCTCCGCCGCATGGCACGGCCCGGCTGCACCCTCGCTTGCTACAGGGAGCTAGCCGTCGTATCCCACAAAAGCCACTTCGGAGCACATATGTGCAACTTACACACACGTACTCCTCCCTCACCGCCTGCCGAAACTCGCGGCTCCCCTCCCGGAGAAGATGCTCCCGATTCCTTTCTCTTAGGAACTCGCAGCCTTCCACCCGGCTCTTCGGGACCTGGCTTTTGTTTATATTAAAATTGCCCCTGGATGTATCACGTTCAAGGTGTTGGTCTTTGAGCCCCTCTTGTGTTTGAAGCTCAAATTGTAGTCCCTTGTGGTGAACCTCATTGGATTAGTCTAAGTGACATATGCAGGATTCATCAGGGGGCTTGTTCACCAAGAAAGATTTGGAGATACTTGTTAAGGAAACCGAAGAGTGCTTTAAATTTTCCCCAAGATCTGTTGTTAGAATAAACACTTGAATCTGGGGCTGTAAGGATTGAGGTGAAATGATTCCCTTTGTGCTGCTTGGAAGGGGGATTGGAGGGGTTTTTGTCAGTGTGAGTTAAATGTGTTGGCTCAGCAGCGCTTTCATAGCCTGTTTTCTTTTCCTTCCCTGTTTTTTTGAGGTTTTAAGAAGTGGAAGTTCATTAAGAAATGACTTCGTTTGCTTTTGTTCCCCATTATTTTATGTAATTTCAATGTGAGTGAGCTGGTACCAAAGAAGCCTAAGGTTCTGATAAATTGTTAGGTATCAAGTACTGAGTACCAACCCAGGTCTTTACATGAAGATTTTAAAGAGTAGAAGAGAAGGAGCTTCCCTTGGGAGGAAAAAACCATTACTGTTTGCTGCTGTTTCTCCAGCCCCTGGAACAATGCTGGCCAATCACGGGTACTCGAGATTTGTTGAGTAAATAAAAATATCAGTAGATGATAAATTTCTAAATAATCGGTGGTGGTACTCACAGTAATTGTTAGTAGTTCAGAGAACAGAGATATCATGTAGGGCAGGCATGGAGGTCAGGGTTTCCAAAAGGAGGAGAACTTAAGCTTGGCCTTTAAGGAAATGAGGATGTGGGTGGATGAGGTGGGTGGGAGCGTCCAGGTCAGCACCTTATGATCTGAGGCACAGAAGTGAGAAAAGAGACTTATTTGGTGCTTGTGGGGTACTAGGAGAAGAACTTCCTGCTTGGACCCTTGGGTGGTGGGACACAATGAAGGTAAATAATAATAAATGGGTCTACTTCCTTCTGTCAGAGTGACAGTCTTTCTCATGTTTGTATACCCAGTCCCTAGATCAGTGGGTGGCAACTCACAGGTGATCAATAAATGTACATCGAATGCATGAATTAGGTTTTGAATCTTACCTTGACACTCTTCAGTTCTGATGTCTGAGAGGTGAGAGAAAGATTGTACACGTTTGGACATGCCTCTGTCTCTAATGAGTTGATGATGTTCCATTTGGAGATTTTCCTGAGACACCTTAACCCCCAGCACATCCTGCTGAGGTGAGAAACTTTTTCATACCTCCTGCCTTCAAGCACAAGTCAAGTCATTAGTGTACTCACTCAGAGGCTGTTGAAATTCTGCTAAGGATTTAGCTCCTGTCTAGTTAGGCAAGACGAGGAAATCTGTTGAGCACAGTGTTTTACTTTGGGCCTTCTGCTGATGTGTCCAGTCTCTGCAATAAAGTGGGGTGGTGTCTCCAATCCCCAAGAGTAGAGAGCTAACTTCTCTGGGCTGACTTCTGTGCCTGTTATAGAGAGGGCAGATGTCTCGGAGCCTCCCAGCCTCTCATTCCTGTGACTACTAGGGGCAGGGAGAATCTGCAGGCACTAGTTTCACGAGGTGTGTCATTAATGAGAGGTGACTGGTTAAACCTAGTGAAGATTTCTGAGCAAATGAGACCATGCCTGGGTCAACACATCCTCCTTTTTTAGCCTTGGAAATAGGGGATTGGGTCTCCAATGTCCCCAGCCTCCCCTGCCCCAAGGGACCCTGGGTTAGTTAATGAGAGCTGTGGAGTCTAGCTTAGATTTGTCTTTTGTATTAGCTGCCATGTCATACCTCCACTTGTACTGTCAATGGCAACCTGCCTTTGTCCTGTGTTTGACAAAGTAAAGCTGGCAGGAATAGGAGCTTACAGCTGTGTGGGTATAATTATTCCAAACCATGTACGAGGGGGCACCCAAAAAACCCAGAATTATCTTTTGGAGGGTAGATCCCTTGTAGTACAGGCTTCCCCCACTAGGTAAGAGTCCCAGGAACCCAATGGCATCAGTGTACTGGCTAGCGTTGTGAGAGGCTGTGTTGTGAGAGGCCGCGTTGCAAGAGAGATGTCCAGAGTTGTGGCAAACGGGTGACTGGGTCTTCTACCAGGATGCCCCTGCCCACACTGAGTGTTCAGCAGTTTTTGACCAAAAATGGCATGGCTGCTGTGCCTCATCCTCCCTATTCACGCAATTTCATCCCGAGCGACTTTTTTGTTTGTTTGTTTCCCCTGTGGAAGAGGTCCTCAAAGGGAAACGTTTGGCTGGCATGGAGGAGGTGAAGCAAAAAATGGCAGATGCACTAAAAGGCATCAAAATGGACAAGTTCAAAAACTGCTTTGAGCAGTGGAAAAAGCGTCTTGATAGGTGTATTGCATCAAATGGGGAGTACTTTGAAGGTGACTGAAGTTTAAACATGGAAGAATAAATACGCAGTTTTTTTTTTGAGTTGGAGTCTCACTCTGTGGCCCAGGCTGGAGTGCAGTGGCGTGCTCACGGCCACTGCAGCCTCGACCTGCTGGGCGATCCTTTCGCTTCAACCTTCCAAGTAGCTGGAACTATAGGCGCAGGCCACCATGCCCAACTGAGTTTTTTATTTACTGTAGAGACGAGGTCTCGCCAAGTCTCCTAGGCTGGTCTCAAACCCCTGGACTCGGGCAGTCCTCTCACTTCTGCCTATAAATACACAATTTTTAATGAATAAATTCTGGTATTTTTGGGGTCTCCTCTCATGTATTTGTCCATTCATTTATTTATGATACCTTCCCCCAACCCTTTATTTCACAAGAGTCTTTTTGATTATTCTTAAGCTACAAAATACCCTCTTCTCTTACCCTATCCCTTTTCTCTTACACTGCCTGGGCTTAGGTCTTAACTTCTTAAAGACTTCCCGGATGACCCTAATACACACAGATCTCTCAAGCTTCTACTTCTTTGGAATGCGTCCTCTGTAGTGTACTTTGCTTGCCTAGCTTTCACAATTTATTGCTCCGGCCTGTCGGTATGATGTTTAGACACAGTAACCCTCAGCTATTGAGATTATAACTGAGAATCAGAAAG